AAGCTTGTTGTGGTAGTGTTACCACAACTGGATTCTCTTTATTGTTAAATGGATCACCAGTTGTTTGCATATAAAGCAAAAAGGGCTTAAGGCAAGGGGACCCAATATCCTTATATTGATGATGATTTGTATATGGAGTACCTAACAGGGTATTAAAGGAGGTAAAGACAGACCATAGGTTCCATTTTCACCCTAAATGCAGTAAAATAAAATTGACTCACCCCTGCTTTTGTAGAACAAATGATTATTCTCCTTTGAAGCTGAAGCACTGTTTTGACATGTTCTCAAATGTGTCTGGATTGAGCATTAACAAGGAAAAAAGCCAGATCTTTTTGGGTGGGATATCCAACAGTTTGAGGTAGTGGCTAATATCTTAGATGGGATTTTTCCTAGTTTCTTTCCTCATCAGATATCTCGGAGTTTTGTTAATTACAGCTGGATCATCTAAACCTGCTTTTCAACTAATTATTGACAAAATCAAGGCCAGAATATCAAGTTGGACAAACAAATACTTAACTTTCGTTGGGAGAGTGCAGTTGATTAGTTCTGTACTCTTCCATATTCAAGTATACTGGTCTTATGCATTTACATTACTGAGGTCTTATTCAAGAAATTGACAGGCTTTGCATGAACTTTTTGTGGGTTGGAACCATAGAGAGAGCAAGGATGCCAACGGTCTCATGGGAAAATATATGTCTACCTAAAGAGGAAGGTGATCTGGGTATCAAACAGATTAAGCCTTGAAATGATGCAACAATGTGCAAGTATATGGCTGCTATTTGATGATAAAGAGTGTCTATGGGTGCAATGGGTTAAGGTCTGTTGTGAAAGATCTAATCAACATTAAGGTAAGTGATGGCTCCTCAACCTTTCTATTTCTTCATCTCCATTGCTGAGCAAGTTAATTTAGAGGAACTGAAAACCTGGGGATTAAAAAGACTAAGGTGAAGCCATGGACTCATAATGGCAGTTGGCGCATCCCTCTCTGTTTCATTAGAAAGTTTCCCTATTTAACTGATATGATTCTGCAGCAGGATACAAGTCATGCAATAGACAAGCCAAGATGGAAGCTGACTAACTAGTAAGTTTACTGTAGCCAATTATTATGAAAGGCTAAGAAGAAAGCAAGGTGTGGAGTTGAGTAGCATGTTATGGTATGGAGGTAATGTGTCTATAGCCATGCATTTATTACATGGTTAACACTATTAAACAGGATGAAGACTAAGGATTTGATGATCAAAAGGGAATTATAACTTGATCTTTGTTCTGTTTTGTGTAGTTGGCAAGCAGAGACCAGAAGTTGTTTAACTTTTTGATTGCACATACTCCAGAGCTGTATGGGAGGCTATACTCATCAAGCTGTAGGTTTCTTGTCATGTAGCCTCATGGGAGAGTAGCTGGAGATGGATTAGTAAAAGATTGAGAAGAAGGAAATTAAGGAAGAAGTCCTCAAAGTAAGGTGTTCAAGAGTGCTTTTGCTACTGTCATATACTTCTTATGGAGAGGGAGAAACAGCAGGATCTTCAAGAAGGAATCTCATGCTCTTCAAGACTTCGTTTATTGGATTTTATATTTTATTGAATCTGTTATCTAATTGAGAAAGAACTATGATGTAAACCTTGGTATGCCTGCGTAGGTGATTGTACTGAATTGCTTGAGTGGAATGAAACCTTGCCTTCCTCAAAAATAGTATACCTATCAGAAAAAATCAACATGTGTCAAATTTAAAAAACCTCTCAATTTCGATTGGAGCCGATCACAACCATAGGAGACAGATTGAGGAATTTTAGTTAACAATCATGAAAAGGGAAAGCCCCTTCTTATCAAACATTTTTTTTTTTTTTTTTGTTAATGTTAATTCCAAACATTTCATTACATAAAATGCAAAAGGCAATCTCATTGCCAAAACCCTCGCAAAAATTCACTCAATGTCTCCTCGCCACTGCAACCATACGTTTCAAACAGTGGAAAGGAATCCCAGCTTGCAGCGAATGGCTCATCATTTAGAGCAAACATAGAGTTTCCGAGAAGCATCAAGGGAGAATCCACCTCGCGCTTGAAGCAGTCAACATCTTCCATCCAATTATCACCAACATTACTCTCTTCCTTCACCTCTTTCTCCCCCTCGGATCCCCCCTCGGCAGTACTACATACCGGTGTTCCCTTATTGCAAGTGGGCGGAGAATTATCCAATCGCTGCCGTTTCTCACCGTTCAGCTTGTTCTCCTCGTGGGCATGAGTGTGGATGTTTGTGTCGAGGGTTTTTCTTTTGCCTAGAAGGCACTTCTTGTTCAAATGGGTATTCCAGTAATTCTTCACTTCATTGTCTGTACGACCCGGAAGTCGTCCCGCGATTAGCGACCATCTGCATATAAAACACGACACACAGACATTTCATCGAACGCTTGAGAACTAAAAAAATGGATATTCCATCTGTATACGAGCGAGAGTTTTGTGCTTACCGGTTTCCTAGCAACTTGTGCATGCGGATGATGAGATCTTCTTCCTCCTCAGACATCCCGCCCCTTTTGATGTTGGGTCTCAGGTAATTCTTCCATCTCAGCCTGCAACTCTTCCCTCCCCTCATCAGCCCTGCAAACAGAGATTAAAAAAATAAGAGATCTTTACATAATCAGAGAAATGTATCGGATGCTGGAGGTTGTGGAGCTGTGCATATACCTGATCTCTTAGACACAGTTGCCCAATTGCCCTCGCCGTGCGTCTCCACGTAATTTTTCAAAATCAGATCCTCCTCTGGTTTCCAAAGACCCCTCTTCAGCTGTGGCTTAATTTCTCTATTCTCCATTGTTGTTTCTTGGAATCAGGGAAACTTGTGTGGTTAAAGTAGCTAGCATAAGAAGGGGTTATATAGGAAAAGTTGAAGACATTCGTGCAACAACAATTTGCAAACAGTATCTTCACCAAATTTGATTTACTTTGGCTTTTTTCGCTTCACACTGTGCAAAAAGCAAAGCAAAATTCAGTTCTACTTTCACTTTCCGGACAGATTCTTCAGATGGAGTGCATGTGGCTACAACATGTCTATCATGACCAAATGATATGCGTGATCAATGGGACTGTACTGAGGGTGCTGAATATTGGTTCCTAGTGCATCTCTACATTGCACTTGAAATTGAATGGAAGCTTTGTTGATAGTTTTGATCGTTGCTGTAATAATTACTAAATCAAAAATGATTACAGGAGGGCAACAACTTAATTAAAGCTCCCATTGAAACTCAATTTTTAGTGGAAATAAGAGAGTAGATTGAAGTAATATTATATGCAAGTGGAGTGAGTTGCCTCTGATTGTGCAACCCATCAAACTATATGCATTGTTGACATATCTCTAAACTCATTTCTCCTCAAGCAATATTAAGGGTGTATCTCATATTAGTTTAGTGCATTTAAGAAAATCAATTTTTTAAAGTACTAGTTTCAAGACTTTGAACTCTAAACTTGATTCAAAAGATGATACTTGTTTTTCAATGCATCTAACCCTTAGTGTTGTGATTGGTCCTTGTTGATGTTGAGATTTGGCAATAAAGATGTTTCATTGTTGTGAGGAGGACTCAAAAGAATATACGCAGCCAAGAAAGAATATAATGAAATTCACGTTGGTACCTTTGATATAGAAGGCGGGCTCCAATGTCTCTTCAAAGCAGCCAGAAAATACAACTAGGCTGTGCAGCTTTTGAATGTCCCATATATGAACAAATCAAAGCATATAGGCCAATTCCAATAACAGCTCTTATTCATCTAATCAGTCATTAGTAATTTCGCCCCTTTTTCATGTGATGAACAGTATGTCTCAAAAAGAAAGCAACTAGATACGTATATGAAACAGGTAATCATATCCCTCATCATTGAATGAGTAATTGGGATTGATCAATCCCAATAGCATTTCTGTTGCAGGGCTAGATGTTAATGATTATACATATCAATTATGTTTACATACAAATAAGAATGCATTCAGCATTGGCATGAGCTTTCAGGCTAAGGGCTTGAAGACTTAGCCTTCAAATGGGAGTGCTGTGTTGTGCTGTTATTATAGTTTTTTTTTTCTTTTTCTTGTCTTTTTTATTTTAAAAATAAAAAATATTAATTAAAATTATTAAATATATATGTAATATTAATTAAAAATAATTATTAATGATAAAGTTATTTTCTTAGATAATGTATGGTAAGAAGAAATTGTGTACAATACTCTTAAACAAATCCTTAAAAATTAAAAAGCCATGACAGAGTTTGTCAATTTTAGTTTGACAATAGATAGTGCTTACTAAAAAATAAAAATTTGATAAATGACAGGTTTTCTTTAGATTTTTCGAAGTTTTGTACTCGTGCATAATTGTTGTGATTTGTTTCCTCGTGTTCTAAATAAAAATAAAATAAAATAAAAAGAGAATGTATTCAGTGTGGCAACTATTGCTTGTACTTGCTTCTTTAATTCCCTCTCTAGTGAAAATATTCCTTCGATTGTCCATATGCTTTTCCCAAGCATAGAATATTAACGTATTTTCTATCTAAAAATAATTGCAATTTTTTTATTTTTATAAAAAAATTAAGTATTTAAAGATAAATTATATATTTATTTATATTATTTTAAAAAAAATAAAAAATAAAATGAGATTTTTTTATAAGATAATTAATTAAAATA